CCCGTCTTCATAGTTCATTACTGTCGTCTCCATCATCGCTGCTGCTGCCGTTACTCATATTCACGCCTGTTACACTTGCCCATCTGACAGTTTTCATCTTCCCACTGAACGCTCTCTTTCTCTGGATCACTGCTTACATTCATTCAATCGTCACGAAGAAAACCAACTCTGCGAATTTTCTATCGCCTCATCCTCCGATCATACATCCTTCCCAGTGTGTGACTACTGCACTGTTCTTGTTTTTTTTTAATTTATATTTATTTTTCTTTCCGATTGAAGCTCTTCTCTTCTGTTTTCGCTTTTGAAACTCCATGGCAGTCCGACCTGTGCATAGATCCACGTATTCTCAAACACACACACAAAAGCAGTTCTAGTTGACGTTAATGACCAATATTTTGTCTTTTCTGCGTTCTCTTATTTTAATTCGTTCTTTTTTGTACACTGATGTTGTTTCTCACACCATCCATTCTTCGTTCCTTCTCTCGTTCTGTCACTTTTCCCCTACCCCGACAATGCTAATATCGTACTGACGGCTGTCAACTACTGGATCATGCTTTTAACCATTCTTTGTTTGTTTCAGACCATGCACTCCCCTCTCCCAGTCCTTTCACACACCCTGTCTGGCAGTTTGTGTTCTCATTCGGGTCCCTCTTGTTTTCGGCTTATGCGAAACCTTGACCCGCACAATCAAGAGCCGATTATCTCGTTAATGCCTATGAAACCGGGGTCCATGGGATCCTCTCGAACCTTGACAATTTATTCAAATGGTTCTCTCCCCTCCATATTCCAAACAGTGTATTCGTGATTTTTGTTGTTGTTGTTGTTGAACGATCTGATCGTATTTTCACAGCGTTATGCAACACGATCCTATTCCGGTGCGTTCGGGTAAGCTTTCCAAAACCAACGAACCTCTGATTACGGGGATTTTGTTGTAAAGTTTGCTGGTTTCAGACAGTTCTCATCCATTCCTGTTCGTCAGATCCCATCATGAAGTGGTCGCAACCTAATAACCCTATGATAGTTGAGCTTCATCCGTTTTTGGCCATGATGCATTGTACCAATCGAGTTGGGTTAATGGCTAATACTGACTGGGTTTCGTGGTCGTTACCCTAAAAATTTAGCGAGCAACTATTCGTCTGATCGATAATGATTCCGCACCAAATTTCCTGTGGAGAATAAGTCGGTTGGCTTCTTACTTATTTAATCACTAATCTGAAACGGGCAATTGCTAACATTTAAAAGAATGAAAGCAGATAGGCATTTACAAGTTTTTACCCGTTTCCATAGGGGTGTGTTGCATGCACCAGAATCGAATTGGGAATTGAGAAGCTTCAGCATGTATGAGCTTACGACTGAATAGTCTAACTCGCAAAGTCATAAATGCGATGCTCCGAGTTACTAAACCCCAGCAATCAGTCGAATCTCCACAACTCGCGCTCGACGATTTACACTGACCGGAATGTGCGCCCCGGTGGGTCACGAGAGTGACCACTGGTGTTACTCCCGAGACAATTGGATTGAGCCACAGAGAGAGAGAGGGACGTAAAAAGGGTTCCACTGTCCTTATCGCGGTGCTGATTTGATGTCATTTTACACTAGCCATCTCAGTATGATAAATTGTAACAGGGGTGGAGCACAATTGTGGAGATCAATGCAAACCGGTGGTCCAATCTTCGGAACTTAATAGGATGAACAGCGTGAATCTCCACAGGGGTTCGACTGCTAATGAAGTTGAGTTTTCAGGAGCCGACGCGTGTTGATGTTTTTGGTCATCACCTAAGTGCTAAGTACTGCTGATCAGTATTGTTCGAACCCAATAGAAAAAAAGGTGTCAGGTTTCAAGCATCTTTAAAAGACATCAACCAGTGTATCGAACTTTGTTGACGTTAATTGGAAATGCTCCGTTTGATTCCTTCGGCATCGTTCGCCTATGACATACGTCCGATATGAAACCGATGCACCAAATGCACATATGACTTAGCCCTCGATTTGCTTATTTCATCCGACACACAATTGGTAAGGAGTTGGGGCAATTTCGGGGTCGATCGAAAGGCTGACTGACAAAAACACGTCAGTAACACCCGGAATATCGCTTCACGACTTCCTTACCGTTAGCATAAGCTAATCTGTCAGAGGTTGCTGACACAGAAATTCACTTCTTAACCACAAACCGTTGTGCGATTAGTTCAGCTCAGATTTGAACTTCAAGTATGGAGTGCCAGTTTTTTCTTACACACCTAAGTGTGGTGAACAGCAGACAGGGTGAACCCCATGGTCACGAGGACCTGCTGTTCTGTGGTGTGTCGGTGCCAAACTGTGCTTCGCAGGTCGCATCCACTGCAATGGAAGCGGCTGGAATGCTTTTCCAAGTCAAGTGAAGAGATACTTTGTACACCCAAAGGGTGAATTGTCAGTATAAAACTGTGCGCCAATCGGAACAAAATTGAGTGTGCTTACTTTTTTGCTGTACTGAATATTTAAGGTCTGGGAGCTTCCTCACCGGCTAAACCTTCAATATCCTTCACTGATCACCGAAAATGGCAAAGCCAAACTATTGTTTTTTTTAAAGACTTCATAACCAGGTACGGAAATCACTCCATATATATTTGGTGGCTCACACATCCGAGTCACCGGCTGTATAATTCCGATTGATGTTCAGGCATACAACACTCACGCAATCTTGGAAGCAAGGCATTATCTTTCTCGTTCACGAAAGAGACTTTCGTTAGCAACCCCCGTTCCAGTTCTATCGAAAATCATGAGGTCGACTGTGGTGGACTCCCTAAAGGAACACTTGGGAAAGTATGTTTTTTCGCCAGCTTGATTTGACTTGAGTAAACCACCAGATACTGTTACGCAAGCCTGATATTAAGGGTCTATCACTTGTTTGGGTTGAAGAGTTCCTGTGACAACGGTCCATGTCATTTCTTGTTCCTGATTCGCTAACCGCTTCTACTAACAGTACCCGCGTGATTCCACAAGGATATGGACTTGGTCTCCGACTCTGCCTCACATTCATTAACGATCTGCGGAATCTTCTTGGGACAAAACAATATTACATGAGAGTAATGAGTGATTTGGTTTGCTCATGTATTGAATTTCTTCATATAGAGAGCAAATGAAGGTTGAATTGAAAACTAGGAAGCAGTGGATGGCGGTTTCGATTTGATTGGGTCTCATCAACAGCAGGCATCCATTGACCCGACTGGGGCTCGAACTGTTGACCTCAAAAAAGGAGTAAAACGCAATCGTACTACCCGTGGTGATTATTTGGTGACTTTATCACCGGACAATCCAGCCGGAAATGCAAAGGGTTGATTTCCATAGTTCATGCTACATCAACAACTAACATGCCTTGAGTGAAAAGGACCTGAACGTCATTGTTCCTGATTGCTTAAGCTACATAAAGGCTTAGTCCGCGTCTGTGGAGAATGTCGGTATTCTTAGACCCATGTATGGCCGGTTTCAGTTAACAACGATCCCACGTCTGCTATCAGCATACATATTCGACGGTGCACAGAGTTTACCATCCAGGTATGGAAAGCATGACTCCAACCGGATCGCAAGATGCTGGGACGTCCACACAGGATAGCCACCAAAATGTATTGTTTTAACCATATGGAAAGAATACAATCATTGAGATTATCTTCCACTGGGTTTCGCAGCATGCGAGGAG